GCGCACGCCTAAGTTCGTTGAATCTGATTCTGTCAAAACATTGGAACAGCATCGATACAGCAACATAGTACTAGTATATAATAATAACGACAATAATAATACAGCTGTATCAACTCGACATAAAGACCCGAAGAATGATGCACCTCCATAGAAGTTTGCATTCCAAATCGTCCGTTCCACGGTCTCCGACAACAGGGAGGCCATGGACTTTTGAGTTTGGATTGTCTAGATGACAGAATGGTACTGGATGGAGCCTGTAAAGTCGTCAGTATTTTGGATTATCTTCTCTGGATGGTCCGCAACCATGAGAGAACACGAATTGGAGTATTTCTCTTTGAAGCAGCTAGTGAACTCGGTTTAGTTTTCGACACTGAACAAGGTGATCACAACTCTGTCACCGAATTGGAACCCGTTCAGCAGAAGGCCCATATAAAAGCCGCAGAAATCACTTCACTCCTGCGGGAACACAAGGATGAGCCAATGCATGGAGTCTTCTTCAACAACAATAAAGACTTTGGCTCATCAAAGCGCCTAACCTTCGCTTTTCCCAGGTCAAGTGAGTTGAAGTCGGAAACTGAGGAGTTCATCTTGGCCTGCCAGGATAGTGTCTTCAACACCTCAGTCTACCGCAGTCGCGTGATGGGTAAAGAGGTTCCTGACACAAGGTGCAGGGTCTGCCGCGTGGCGTCCGAGACCCTAATGCACTTACTGTCAGCAGGTCCAGCATATACGGTCTCGGCCAATATCCATCGGCATAACGCAACTCTGAGAATGCTTTATTACTACCTACGGCACTCTTACGGTATTGAAGAGACACCGGTGTTGCCCAGCGCTCCGAGTATATTTAATCCGTTGTGCGAAATGAGAAGTGTCGAATTTATTGAAAATATTCGTTCCTCACCCTCAAGCTCGTACAAGCTAATAAGCCTGATGTAGTCCTTCCCGACCACCAGAGCGAGAATATATTTTTCAGGGAGTTTTCAGCTCCTGGTAAAACAAATATTGTACAAAAAAAAAGTAAAATCGGATAAAACATCGAGATTTTCTCTTCGAACTCCTCAGACTCTACCCAGACCAGTTTGTCAAGATGGTTGTTCTAATTATTGGAGTCCTTGGTGGAATGATGCCCTCTCTCGAATCTTAGAATAGACATCTAAGCCGAACAGATGCAGAAGTCTGTCAATCTTGGCTCACTGCTCTTGGTCAGGGCACATAATTCTCTGACCCAGTGATCACTCACTCCACGGTGTGGAGAGTGGTTGTTGGTTGGACCAGCGCAAACTCAGGTAAAGATATAATAAAAATAACAATACGCTTCTATTCACCATAAAAGTAGAATGATGAAATTATTTCTAGAATAGGAAATAGATGTTCAAAAAAACTATTTCTCAGAATTAGGAATTTATGTAAAATATTTCAAAATAATCAAAATCCAGAAACCATCATAACATGTCTTGTCATGAGCACCGATTATGTTTATTTTGATCAGTTAAGAGGTCTGACTTGGATGGTGGTTCGAACGTGCATGGAGATATCTGTCCATATGTGTCGATTTTTGGCATACGGATAGATATCTGCATGCACTTTCGAACCACCATCCAAGTCAAAAGCGGGAAATTATCATCATCCTGACGGAACGTGCCCGTAGAACATGTGAACCGGAACACCTACAAGAAGAATTGAAGCATATTCAAGTGGCTTTAAGATCGAATGGATACTGAGTAACCGATATCAACAAGGCCATGAAACTGGAGACTACAAGTCAAATTAGGGAGGAAACTCAAACGGTTGCACGTGCATTTCTACCATATATCCCTAGGGTTACAATCAGAATCGGAAAAATCTTAAGGAATCATAACATAAAAACGGTGTTCAAGTCCACTAGGAAAATATAACAAAGCCTGAGATCTGCGAAAGACAATAGAGATCCACTATCAGCTGCGGGGGTATATCGTATACTATGCAACTGCGGAAAAGTTTATATCGGCACCACCACAAGATCCATGGGTACAAGGCTGAATGAACATCGTTGAAACTGTAGATTAGGTCAAATAGGAAAATCGGCAGTAGCAGAACACGCGTTTAGTGAATGAGATCATACGATACTGTTTAAAGATGTGAAACTACTTCCACCCGATCATGGATACCACAATCGGCTTGTACGGGAAACCATAGAAATCCATAAACATACGGAAAACTTCAACAGAAAAGAGGAAGAGATAAGGCTTAACCGGATTTGGAATCCCATACTTAAGGATGCTGGGGTGGCAACAATGAAATGCAATGTAACGTCATCAACAGGTAATAACATTCGGCCAATAGCAACGCATCAACAAGAAAGGACCCGAATGAAGATCGTAACACTGAAAATCTAGATCGCGAAAGCCTTAACCAACTCAATATACTGTTTCCTTGGTTTTTTCGAATAAGTCGTTGATATACAATAAAAAGAGGTTTGGAGGCAATATGGACCCCTGAGGAACACCAGTGTTGATGGTGAAAGTATTCGAGAGATATCCATTGATGGCCACTTGCAGGGAACGTTCTTTCAGGAAGCTGAAGCATACACATAAATGATCCAACAAGCCATAGCATCGAAGTTTGGCCAACAAACCCTCATGCCACACACGATCAAAGGCCTTAGAAATATCAAGCGCAACAACTTGTTTCATACTGATTCAATAACTTCACGAAAATTAGATGGCAATCCTTCAACTTGAATATCAACAATTTTTATATGATATTCAGGAATGTCAATATCTTAATCGATACTTATTGGTATGATAATACATTCAGTATTCTGAATAGTAGCAATTCAATTGAAATTGAAAAGAATACGCGACGTACTGTTCATGCATCTAGCCGCTTCAATAAAGTTAGGTGGCCATTGTTGAAAAATACGAGTTGAGTCCCACTCATGTCCCTCTCTCAAGAAATGTTTTGCAAATGCAGAATGGATCTTCATATTCAAGAAACTATTTCTATGTTCTTTTATTCTTCGGCAAAAGGTGCTCCATGTTTGTCCAATATAAAGTTTTCAGCAAGAACCACAGGTAAACTCATTTACTCCTGATCTATTCAACACTGAAGTTTCGTCTTTAAATTATTATTCATTCTGTGAGTCATGTCCAAGCCTGTCTTTTTCAAAAAACGAGCGATGTTATTGGTGCCCATAAAAATTTTCTATAGCAAAAAGGCAAGCGAATAGTAAGTATGTCTAGAATTTCTCATTTTGCTATCCCCAGGAAATTGAAAAAGCAACCACATGTCGCGTACAAAAAACATTTTAAAGTGTTTAGAATGTAATGGACACCATTTATTGTGAAAATGTGATATGTTGTTCACAATTTTGTTATTTTGAATCATCCTATTCTGTTATTGTCTGTACTTCCACATGTTTAAGCCTACAAAATCTTACTTTTTACCTAGAAATGACTGATTTTTGGTACAGTTGTTCCCTGGAAACTTTGAGCCACAGTTAAGGAAATTATTTTGTAACCTTACAAACTCCCTCTCGTTCATTGGTGTTAATTCAGGATACATCTGGTTGAATTTTTCACACGTTCTGATAATGATTTGATCACTTTATTCATGTGTTTAATAAATAATTTCATTAGAACTTCGTTTGAATAATCGATATTTGCATTCATTTTGGAAGATGATTCGAAACACCGTCGATAACTCTTTGTAAATTACTTATAAAAAAAAACGAACTGCTATAAGCTTGATAATTCCACTGCTACCTAAATCCAAATTCTAAAAAAAATAATGTTTTGAGAAGAAGCGACTTTATTGAGAAAACTTGACGATTTAGGTATAGGGACATGATATATCATCTTGAAGCATTTTCCACCATCTTTCAATTTACCGAGTAAATTGACTACTTTTATGCACAATGGAAATAATAGTGATTTTAGCACGCCCTGTATGATATGGAGTCGATTTCTTGGTGTTTGTCCAAACTATCATCAAAATATCAACTTTTCACGAATTGACAGTACTGATGTACTTAATTTCAATTAAGGCTATGTTTTGGACCATATTTAGCACAATTTATTTTTTATCTCGAAAACAGATAGAGCTAGGTATAGGACATTATTAACAAAAAAGTATTCAAATACCAGAGATATTCCAAAAATGTAATAATATATGGGGTATTCCATTTAAAAAAATAAAGTTGCTAGGACTTTTTGATGGAAGTGGCAACGCCGCAATGCTGAAAATATTTTAAATCGATAGAACAGGTAAGGAAATGTGAGAGGTGAAATTTTCAGAAAAATCATGCTTTGCGTTTTCCAGAAACGTTTAACCTACCATCGACCGTGAGTCACGCTGTATGTATTTATGTAGACTGTCGAATTCGGCACCTGGACTTTTCATTCTTTTGACGTTCATCAAACAAACGCGTTTCCGATTGAGGCTTCATTTCAAGTGAATTTATTTCGTTTCGAAAACGGAGAAATTTAGTTTTCCAAAACGTTAACCTTCTGAAGAAAACTAATTATGGAAATATTATTTTTCCATTGATTATTTTGTGTTTAGGAAAAATTTTTTGAATACCCAGTAACTTTTTGGAATGAACTTTCCAGTTTGCGATTTATTAAACCCCAAAAGATTTTCTATTGATTCGGCTTCTTTTAGTCTTCAGACTGTGGAAGGTTATAAATCGAAAAATCATACACACAAAATGTCCTTGAAAAAAAGTTGAACAGTAGACATATTCGATTACGAGACATTTACATTGAAACTACCCGTGAGTATTAATTATAACACAAAAAAATTCAGTAAAATTCTGTTATAAAGTTGACCATATGAATTTCTTTCCACAGTGAAGACATTGATTGATTCAACTCCCTAATGAGTCCCCGAATATCCAAAATCAAAGCTCCTCTAAATTATCAACAATTTATACGAACTCAAACAAAAAAGATTCAAACTGAAATATTATCCACCCTCCGTGATGCGGATGAAAAAACCTAATCTGAAATTTATTGTTGCAGCTATGGCACCGTAGTCGGCATAGGCGTAGGGATAACCAGGGATTGCTCGACTCTGATGGTTGCCCAGTACTTTAAGAGAAGGAGAGAATTTGTGGAAATCTTTATAGTATCTGGAAGTGGACTCGGGATTTCCACAATGTCGCTCATCATCCGGAACACTATAGGGTGAGTTGTAACTTTTAGATTGGGGATAATGTATCGCCAGGATAAGTCAAAATATTTTGATCCTTCATAACGTTCTTTGAGTGGACTATTGACGGAAGTTTTTAGTTCGAGAGGCAGTCGAGCGTTTGCTTCTTTCATGAAATCCTTGTTTATGCATTCGCTGACATACTTGAGGCTAGTTTATATGGTCGAAGCTGAAAGTGGAGTATATTTCACAGGATCATTCGATGTTGGATTTTTGCAAAGGAATCTCAAAAACGGCAGTATATACATGAAAAATTATCTCTTTATGAGAATTATTGTTTTTTCTGTATTACTTAAAAACGAATTCGCATATTCAGGATATAACAATGATGAATTGCTACAATTAATACATAAAATTCATTACACAAATGCAAATCTGAAAGTTTTAAAAGAAGTCTGTTTCAAAATCTGTTTTTCCGTTAACCAGCTGTCGCACCCCTACAAACGACAACCCTCAGAATTCGAAACTTGTGCAAGCTAAGGACTAACAAGGTCCTACCTTTTAACTTGTGATTCCTAACACTGGTTGGACGATAGCGAGTGGAAATCGATCGTTCAGTCTGGGGCTTGAACCACCGACCGACACGGCAGTCAATTTGAGTGAGTGAACAAAGCACACACGTCGAATCGACCGGCTACCGACCGACCAATGTGAATATAATATTGCTGAATTGGAAAAGTTTAAACTGATTAGGTATATGAAGAAATTGATTTTTCTGTCTTTAATATTATGTACTGAATAAAACTCATGTAGTCAGGTACTAGAATTTTGAAAAAAACTTCACCTTTCTACACTGTCCACAATAGACTGGATTGAAACTACACTTGGAATAAAGAATTCAGTTTCAACTAATTTTTCGTTTATCAGTTATCGAATGGTTGATTTGAATAACTTTGGAATTTGAAATGTACAAACTGAATCATTTGACGAAACTTTCGAATTAACTGATGTTTCTATTTAGATATGTGAGTAACACTTCATTGTGATATTTTCACTAGATAAATTATGACACCCACTAATACTGAAAAAACATGAGATGAAATGAAAATACCACTTGTTTCACTATATCTTTTAAATTTCTAAAAAGAATTGTGATGCTACGTAACTTCGGCACTAACTGTTCATAATGAGATTCCCAGCTGAAAAAGTCATCAACATATACACTTAAAAATTTAGGTTTTCTGCGGTACTGCCTTTATCAGATGTGAAAGTGAGTTTTTGCTGAAACGTTTTCTATCTAGTATGAAACCTTATGATTTGTGTTTTAGACTGGTTGATATGAAAGTCATTATCGCTACAGTAGGCAATTAATTCATTCAAATATACATTTCATTTTTCTTCTAGGCGGTTACCATCTCAACCTGATAGAATTAACGTAAAATCGTCAGCTTATGCTGTGTAAATTTCATTGCCTGAAATATTTTCTATATCATCAACGTGGAGTATGAAGAGGACAGGACCTGGGCCCTGCGGCACTCACACATCGAGTTTGGGTTTTTCTGTTTTTTCAAGGACAGAACACAAGCACTGCAATAAAATCCCCAAGGCCCTCTCAGAGCGGTGCCTGCGCGAAAGCAGCTATTCAAATTGGATTTGAATCGCTGGATATCAAATCCATCTGGAAAAACGTTCTCAGAAAACTTATTCCACACAAACGCCGTTCTCGAGATGAAAGAGTTCTTAAGCAGTGAAGTTCGAGGTGTACTAAGCTTAACCTCAAAACGATGAGCAGTCACAGTCCGTCACGTTTTTCTGATATGTACCGCTCTTGGTGGAATCAAATGTGCCAAGTCACTTGAACACCTCCAGTGAAAGTGACTTGGCAAGTATCTATACAAGACATACAAATCTCCAACCTTTCGTCGATGTTCCAAGCTATCAAGGTTTCACGTGATGTTCGCGTCTCCAATCAGGCTGATGGCTCTTTTCTGGATGGGATCCAGATACTCCAGATACTCCAAAGAAGGTCTGATCTGGGCTTCATAAAGCTTAAAAAGTTGCTGAGGTGTGTATAATTTTCTGGTTCGAAACAGTTTTCCAAGCTTTTGAGAAGCAGCCTTTGCATTACCAGCGACATGATTGTGCCATGACATATTGCTGACCATTGTAACCCCCAACAAACTTATCGAAGCAGAAAGCGGAATTGTATCCGGTTCGGAGACATTTATCTTCTTGTAGAAAACCGTTGACTGAGTTTTTGTGGTATTGAATTAAACCTGGTTACTTTCACTCCACTTCGAAATCACTTCTAGATCCTCATTAAGACATGCAACCTTCTGTTGCCGGCGAAGATGTACCTCCGTAGCTGATGTCCTGGAATCCAAATGGAATGACGAGACAATTGTGCTGTCGTCAGCCAAGCAATATATTGGATTCTTGTTTTTTTCCAATAAGTCGAAGATATACGATAAATAGGGGGTTGGAGATAACTGGGAAACACCAGCATTGATGGTGAAAGTATTCGAGATATATTCATCGACGGCCACTTGCATGGGAACGTTCTTTCTAGAAGCTGAAGAGCCATACATAGAAATGATGCCACAAGTCAAAGCATCGAACTTTGGCCAGCAAATCCTCATGCCACACACGATCAAAGGTCTTAGAAATATTAAGCGCATCAGCTCTTGACTCACCATGTTTCTCGATTGCGCTATTCCAAATATGGGTGGCATACGATAGAAGGTCGCGTTGATCTTTGTTTCCGATAGCCATATTTTTTTATTTACCAATATAGGGGTTACAAACAGATTAACAAATCCAATAGAGAACCCACTTTACAATTTTAGTTCAAGTGGGCTTTGGGAAAAAAAATGTAAATTTTAATTTTTTGTAAATAACATTGGACAATCGAAGAATAACATAATTGTTATAAGAGTGACGAGACTACAGAAATGGTCACAACTTATCAATGAAATTTGTTTTCATCCTGCGTTTGAAACAGTCTAAAGAGATTTCAAAATATTGAATATCATTGCAAATTTCATTAAACGTTTTAAGCATTCTATAAAGTGGTGAATTTTGAGCAGCATTTGTCCTTGTGCAAGTCAACTTAAAGAATTCTGTACGCCTCAACGTTCTACCCTGAACATTGAACTCAATTTTGGAATGAAGCTCTGGGCAGTGGACTAATCCTTTCATCAACTTGAAACGCATGATGAGATCCGTAACAGTGCTTCTATCCTTCATAGGCATAATATTGTATTGGCGCATAATGGGACTGTAATCGCTATTCGTAATTGGAAAATTCAATTTGTGACTAATGTGGCGAAGAAATTTGTTTTGGACTCTCTCAATACGATCTATGTTTATGTGGTACTGAGGATTCCAAACAAACGATGCAAAGCAGAGCCTTCTATGTACATATGCATAATATAAATTGAGGAGAGGTTTTGCCGTTCTAAAATTTTGTCAGTTTCTTTTGAGGAATCCAATAATACTATTACATTTATTAACTGTTTTTTCTATATGTGAATTAAATGACAACTTCGAGTCCATAATTATTCCCAAGTCTTTAACTTCTGGAACTGATTTCAGTTCGTGATTTTCAAAGTAATTATTTCTGGTTATATTTTTGTTTCTGGAGAATGAGATTGACACACATTTTTATAGATTGATGATATTGATGATTATTCAAGTTGTTGAAGCCTTCCAAATATTTTAGGATATGGTGGTTTACGACTTCCTTCGTGATTTTTGAAATCACTGATGGCACAGCGACTGGACTATAGTTATTGGAAGAATGTTCTTGCCAATTATTCCAAAAGGCTGAAAGCGTGCAATCTTCCAACAAGAAGTAAAAACCCCTTTCTTGTAAGACAGGTTGAAAAGTCTGCACTTTTAAAATACGATGACGGGAACTTCATCTGGACTAGACGCCTTGTTGTGGATTCTAGTGTGGAAATGGTGGGTGGTGCTTCTCTCAGAAAATTTTCAGTAGAGTGGTACACAAATAGTTCAGCTGGTAGATTAGCTTTTTCTGTGGCTGTTGTTGCATTTGAACCATCCACCATCAATACTGGCTGTTATCATCGACCTATTCTTCTGGAAGACATGCTGTTTACCATTCAAAATTCAATTTATATGGATGAAACATATATTCACCCTACACACACGCAAAAAAATGGTTGGAGTGGTCATACCATGGATGAAGATGGTAATCTATCCGGATTCGAAACAATTCCTGACGAAAACCCTTCATCAACAGTCGACGAAAAATCATATTATGATCTTCAGGCAACCAAGCTTCGAAAATATCACACGAATTGTATCTACAGTGTGTCTCACTTCTCATGGAAACACCCCCGTATCTTCCGTAATATTCGAGGTACAACGATGAAACTCTGATGGAAATACTCAAAATGCACCTACCACCTGAATGGGGTTGGCCAAAGTGATATACACTGTCCGCCACTCGCGATGGAACACCCCATTTTTACGGTAAAACTTATCAAGTGGCAAAATAGACTCAAAATTCCTTCAGATTCCTGATCAGGACTACCAACTTACTATGAATACACTTTTTTTCTGAAAAAATTTCAGTCCTGAAAAATCTGAATTTGTCTCACTTCTTATGGAAACACCCCCGTATCTTCCGTAATATTCGAGGTGGAACGATGAAACTCTCAGGACTGATGGAAATACTCAAAATGCACCTACCACTTGAATGGAGTGATATACACTGTCCGCCACTCGGGATGGAACACCCAATTTTTAGGTAAAACATTACGGCCCAAAATAGTTCGCTTCCAATACCTGAACCCCTTCATTCTATCTGGAGAGTACTCTCAGGTATGAAAGATACAGATGGTGTGAGATGCTATGATCGATTTTGAGCCTATCTGAGGAAAATGTCACAGCACCACATTCTCAGATTATCGAGTGTGAAGCAGTGTATGAAAAATTATCGATGGCGGCATCTACTATAACTGAAGAAGATTATTCGTAAAACTAATTCTGGTTGCTGAACATCCAAATT